TGGTAAATCTTGAAATATTTGTCGAAGACATAATACCATTAAACAATTGATATCAAATCGTATAATTTTGATTTACTATGTTAGATCAAACGAAAACTTAGCGGATCTTTTGACAAAATGACTTACAAGAGATCAACTATAACATCTTTCGAGCGGAATAGGCCTAAAGCATATCGTATAGAATCGAATCACCATATAGGAAACCCAATTTTATAGATTGGAGATCCCGAATCATAGTTCAATGGGACAACTAAGTTATGAAATACTCAGGGCAAAGCGCTTACTCTCATTCCTAAGTGCTAGAATAAAAAAGTGTATAAGGATGAGTGTATATTTTTAATGATTCCCATATCTTGGAAGTAGACAAGAGATGTATACCATAGAAGATCGCTTATATAAGTGCTAGGTAGGGCTGCTTCTACGAGAATTTGATGCTTAAATTCTCTTAAAGTATTTATGAAACCAAGAGTTGTTTAGGACCAAAATGAACACAATCATAAGAACCGAAGTGGTTAGATGAGTTATGGTGTTGGTATAGTTGTTTTGATTTATACAGACAGTTGAATGGTTCGACACATTGTGTTCACCAAGTAGTCTAGTAAATTTGTTGTATTCAACTAAGGTTCAAAATCACAAGATCCTTGTTTTGATACTATAACTTGTCATATGTTCTCCTTTTTGTTAGAGTGTGCATATCATTTGTATAGTGCATTGCATATTGTGGAATTTTCATTCATGTGGGAGATTATTGGAATTGGTTAAGCATAATATTATGGTAAAATGACTTTCGTTTTAACTTCGGACAAATATTCGAACTTGATCCGATACTCAAATTATGGAAATAATAGACTAACTTATTCTACTCGTCAAGTAGATCGATATGGTATGTTTGGAATTTCAAAAATCAATTTCGAATTAATCACAAATTATGGTCCAAGGTTCATAAAAAAGGGAAAATTGGCCTGGCATTTACCGAACTTCACCTCACGCCTATAGCTCGAGCAAGGAGTGCGCGACAAGACTATCGCTAGAGCGACATCCGAACGACAACCTTTCTGTTTTTGACGCTCAAGCGATGCACAGGCGACAGGGAAGCTACAGCAAAGCTTGCAACCATTAATAAAAGTAGTTGAGTTTTTGAGGCATGTCTCTTTACTCACAACCTCTCTTCATCTATAAATTAGACTATTGGGATGTCCTTTACTTCATCTCATTAATATGCAATCATAACATAACATAAGTATTCATATTCCTTAGCCAAAATTCTACATAAAAATCTGTTTTCATTTCATTCAAACGGAATACAAAGTTGAGAAGGTGAGCATGTTTGGGAAGTTTTTATGATCGATTTTAAATAATGAATAGATAGAAATGATTGGTGAATGAGCATATAATATTTATGAGTTCTCAAATTGTGTAAATAAAAAATTATTTATATGTTTTGTTGACACATAAAAATTCAGCCCAAATAGAACGGCCCAAGGAATGAAGCCCAATTGGAGGATCCCCAAATCAGATAGCCCAAAGAACGAAACCCAATCAGACAATTCAGGATGAAGGCCCAAATAGGGAGGCCCATGAACGCGGTAACAACATGGCCCAAGCTTGCAAGTCGTCCAGGATCTGAGCGAATGGAGTGCCATGCAATCGCCCAGAGCTGCTACTCTATTCTCCCCCAAACCTTCGAATCGCCCAAGGTCTTAGTAAATATAAAGTGTTCTGGTTATCAAGAAGCGCAGTTATCAAAACGATTATCAAGCAGCTCTATCACGTTCCACGATTCAAGGAATTCAATTGAAGACGGTTGAACGACAAAGAGTAATGGCAGCAGTTAGAAAAGGCAGTTCCATGACAAGTTGGCCATTACGAGGAAAGTGGACAGTTATAGAACGATCAAGCAGTTTTTAGGCGGTTGATCACAAAGAGATCATCCAGGAAGTATAAAAGGAAGAAAAGACATAGAGCTAAGAGACCCCGAATCAAAAACTCTCGAACAGAGAACATGTAACTTTAAATTTCTTAGTTTAGATTTAAACACTTCTTTCAGTAACTCTTGTGCTTGCGCCCCTTGGAGGCATTCTGTTTTTACTTTCCGATTGTAAAGTCATCGCCAATAAAGAACACCCCTTTTTGGGACTTTGTCTCAAGAGGTTTGTCTCATACACAATCGTCTGATCCTTTTTTAATTGTTAACGACGAACCCGCGCAAAACATGTTTATAAATAGTTCATATGTACAAACCAAACAATCATGTGAACATGAAGAATCACGGATTGGTCGAAAGTACGGCATGGAATTTGTTTGCATTTGATAAAAAAATCTTTGCTTAGACTTAAAAAGTAACAAATTTATATAAAGAAAATAAATTGGGCGTGTGTCATTATCAAGCCCATGATTTTGTCTGTGGTCAAACCTAATTGTTCCGCACATTCGTCCACAAAATTGTAAGTCAAGACTAAGATTTGTAAGTTACTCCATCATCGCATTCTTCTCGCATCCACATTTCCATCCACTACTCAAATGACAATCATTCTATGTGTATTATTGTGTACTCGTTGGTACAATTTTCAAATTATTTTAAGAAACAATATGGAAATACATTTCTACATGGCAAAAGCCAATTTCTCCAATGCCTGCAAGAAATATTGGGGAATGTATAAAACCAATTAGTCGGGGTTAAAAACAGAGGAAAAGGCAGCAGAGGTAACGACAAATAATTGAATATTTTTTGTTGTAATTTTTCAAATTGTCCAATTGCAATACGACATGTCACCCTTATTTTTGAGCCTACACCCCCCCCC